GGTGGCCAGAGTGGCCACCAGGGAAAGCTGGGGAGATCTAGCCTCCCACTAGTTCCAATTAAGGGGCTACACACCCCTTAATTCGAACTAGTAAGTTCGAACTAGGCTTAGTCCTCGTGGAATGAGGTTTACCTAGTTCGAACTAGCGGAGCGCTAGTGTAGCGCCTATCAAAGTTAATTCGAACTAACATCTGTTAGTTCGAATTAACTTTGTAGTGTAGACATACCCTAATAGCTAAGCACCTACTGCCAGAGAACCGCCCTCTTTTGTGGCAGGGCTGGAATTGCCTTCTTAGAAATAGGAAGTTCCAGGTTGGGGGCCCTGGTGCATTAGGGCCCAGCGTTGCCAGGTGTCCAGTTTTGAATCGTACAGTCTGGTATTAGCTTTCTGTCTGGGAAACAAATTGAGAACATACTGGACATATAAATTCCAGTATTTTCTAATTAAGTTTTTATTATTATCATGAGTATTAGTACGTAGTTGTGTACTGCCTGCCTGTTAGACACCAGTGGGATGGAATCCCCTGGGCCAGACTCGCCCATGTGCCCTGCCAGGACTGTGCATGGGACGGGCAGCACCTCAGGATCTGCGTGCACCCGGGCCAGTCCCGTTTCTCGCCAGCTGGTCCCTTCCCCTTCCCCCTGGTGGCCAGTTCCCTCCCAGCCAGCTCCGCTCCCCCTGGTATTTTTTTTGGCATCCAATAACTGTGGACGCTGTCTTTCGAAAAAGCAGATCACTTTTTCGTTGCGCTTTTGTTGTACAGACGTTCTCTTTCGAAAGAAGATTTTCCGGAAGATCTCTTCCAGAAAAGCTTCCGAAAGAAGACCGCAGTCTAGACATAGCCCCAGTATATAGCAAACATCATAATACTAGAGTTGTATTTGCATGCACAGCCTCTGAATCACACATGCAAAAAGGGGGCCAGATAGCATCACCATGTGCAGTCACCCACTTCACAAGCAGAACTGTGATAAGTTTCTGTACATGTAGAGGTATTGCCACATTCAGCTGGCTAGTGTTTGGAAAACACCAGCATTCTGCGGGTTAAAGTTAGTTCTTTTTAATTTGAAACAGATCACTAATTCAAATTCATGGCAGACACCAAATACTTGAGCTATTAGGTAAGCAAATCTGTTGCTCGCCCTACCCTGTTTACTGACAGATCATTTTCACCCTAACACTAAAGGGCAAGATCGATTATTCACAAGAGAAAAATTATATATCTGTTTCCTTGCAGCTGAGTTAAATATTGTTCAACATCATGGAACTTACTAATCATATTTTAATAGGCTTGTGTTACTTTAAATAAGTAAACATACATCTGGTAACCAGAAATGTATGAGCTCAATGCTCCACACAGAGAGCTGAGAATGAGCCTCCTCTTAGACTGTAACTTACTGCGACAAAATACCCCATCCTTAACTCATACCTGGACCTTCACCATCTTCCACAGCCTCTTTGGGCCTTTCTGGCAGTACAAATGGGCCCTAAAGCTGGCTTCACTAGCCAAAATGAGGATCTGCTGGGTGTCACACAATCCTCAGTGTAGCAGGGGAGAGGAAATAAGGGCAAGAGGAAACATTGGTAAAAGCTCTTGTGGTGTTTATCATCCAATACAAGTTAGACCTAGCTTCAGGCAGCTCTGACCTATGGATGGGTCCTGCCCTGACTGTAGCTTGGCCAGTCCCAAGGCTCAAGGCACTGTGTCCTTGAAAATAATCAGAACTGGTTGTGGAGGACTAAGGGAGGTAAGTGATTGCCTGCACTGAGGACCCTTCACTGCGTATGCCTGGTGTGGGGCCCTCTAGCTGCTCTAGTGCCCTGCCATGAAACAACCCATGGGAGCAGCAATCGAAAAGGTAAGCAGGGCCCAAACCTTCCAGAACTTTCTATAGTAAAACGAGCATATTATACATCACCTGGAAATCAACTGGTGCCCAGTGCAGATTATTTAGCACAGGTGTAATATGAACACTCCAGGATACTTAATAAGCATCAGTCACTTTCTGCACCAACTGTGATTTCTGAATAGGCTTAAATTATGGTCCTGTATTGCTATATAACACACACTGCAGTAATCCAAGCTCATGGTGACAAAGGCAGGGTTCTGTACCTGAAAGAAAATGCTGCTGCCTTCGGAAGCACAAGAAATGAAAGGTGCTTTTGGCAACTGCCCCTACCTGGATATCTGCCTGCAAGGGGATTCAAGAAGCCCCCTCTCTGTGAGGCTGTGAGCCTAGATAAAATCTGTGAGAACATTCCCACACTGGGGAGTGAAGGTTGGGTTGATATAAACCCTGTTTCTGAACCGCAAACAGTTTGGTCTTCTCAACACAGATCCTCAGCCAGGTAACTGTCCTCATCACCTCACCTGCTCTGAAATTGCAGCCAGTCTACCTGGTTCAGAAGAGGTGCAGATTTAAAGCTCAGTGTCACAGCTGCTGCTAACTAAAAATCTCCACAGAAGGAAGAGCCCAGGAGTGACAAGCCATTGCTCAAAAAGAATGGTTACTTACCTCGGAACTGTGGTACTTCAAGATGGGTTGCTAATGTCCATTCCAATTAGGTGTGTGCACGCAGCATGAACACATTGTCAGAATTTTTTCCCTCAGCAGTATCCTTAGGACCAGCGGGGAGCTCCCTGGAGTGGCACCGGTATATCGGCCCATATATACCCCTGCTGGCCCCCTCACCCACTCAGTTCCTTCTTACCGGAATACACCAGAGAAAGAGCTGCGAACGGGGATTTGGAATGGATGTGAGCAACACATCTCGAAGAATCAGTTACGAGGTAAGTAACCATTCTTTCTTCTTCGAGTGATTGCTCATGTGCATTCCAATTAGGTGACTCCAAAGCAGAACCTATGGAGGAGGGTCAGTTATTGAAGCTACAGAGGAGTAGAGGACCTCCCTGCCCGGGGCAGTGTCTTCCCTGGCTTGATGCGTTAGCGCATAGTGATTGGAAAAGGTATGGACAGAGGACCATGTCACAGCTCTGCAGAGGTCCAGGGTGGGAACCTGTGCAACGAAAGAGGTGGAGGCGGCCACAGCTCTCGTGGAGTGCGCTCTAAGGGTGGGGCTGGTACCCCCGCTAAGGCATAGCACTCTTTGATACAAGTGGTTACCCAGGAGGAGATCTTCTGGGAGGACACGGGCTGACCCCTTGTCCGTTCGGCTATGGCCACGAAGAGTTGCGGGGACTTTCTGAATGGTTTTGTTCTG